CACAGACATCCCAGACATTTATTGTAATTGTGTGTCTGGAAAGTGAAACCTCGGCCCGGGCCGTCGTTAATACTCGTAAATAAGTCTCCGCGTCCCAATAGCTCAGCACAATGACAACGGCAGCCAAATAACAGGGCAAACAAATGGGTTTTGAGCTGAAAAACTGAGTAACTTTCGAACGCATTTCGATCCCATCCGATCCAATGCGATCCAATGCGTTGCGATGAGACATATAATGCGATTAGGCGATCAAATACTGTGATGGAACGGTTATCAAAGCTCTTATGATTTATATAACACTTGTTTGGCGTCTGATTAAGATGGGAGACTGCTTCCAGACTGCTCGATCTCTAAAAAGCAAACACACACATCAATGGAAAAATACCCCAAGAAATGGACTCAACTTTTTATTTAAATAAAAATATATTTATATATGTAGCTATTGAATAGCTTCGTTGGGCTTATCGAAAATACATTTTAGAGTATTTTCTGTAAACTATGGATATATACATATATATGTATACAATTATATATGTATGCATACTAATCGCTAATTCATTTTGAGGGATCTTCAATGAGTGCGTCATTGACTTTGGGGAAATATTAATTAGAAGTAGAAATCAAATGAATGCATATATTTTGTATACAGTATAAATATGTCAACCATAAGCTCATATTTAATGCACTATTTCCATTTAAACGTATTACATAGTATCCTGTGCAATATTGAAAAGATGTTTGAGTTCGTCAACAGGCGATTTTGAGAGCTCAAATTTCAAATATTTCACCCAATACTTATTTTTAATTCTGAAAAATATATCCCCAGATATCTAAGAATCTTTGAAACCTGTCACTTTGTCATATGCATAAATCAGTCATACATCACTGGCCAGAGGCTGAGCATTTATCGCTGACGGTGGACAAATCTAAATTACCGCTAGCAACTTAGCCACGAATATCTAGAGACCCTCTTCATACTGTAATTCCATGTTTATCCTATATCTTTTCCATTATTTATGCACATTGCAAGTACGTGTACAGCGGCACATAAAATTGAAAAACCAAAACCAAAAAAAAAAGGCAATTGTATAAGCCAGACAGCCAAATTAAAACTTAAGAGATTAAAGGGGCTATATATCATGGGTACAATCACATAATCATGACAGGCAATTCACCTCTTTCGCTCCCAAGCCACATCACGATGCGCATTCACGATGGCTCAGGCTAATCCATCGGGGGGGGCACTTCGGGTTCGTGCACTGGAATCTGCTGACCTTTTGGGGGAACTCGCTGCCACACTCGAGACCAGAGTGTGGCATGCAGAGTGTTCAGGTAGTGGCATAGCTTGACCAGACAGCCTGTCACATCTCACATCTCAATTGGCGCTTGACCAGAGAGATGGCAAAACACGAAAAGAGGAGGAGAGTAGAGTAGAGGAGGTGGAGGCTCTTGACACCAGCCTCTGCAACAAGTTGTGCATAGTTGATGCTCATGTTTTTGATTGTGCTCATGTTGCTGTTGGTGTTACTGTATACCGGCTGATGTTGCAGATTGTTGCAGATTATTGCTGCCTATGTCTCTGCTGCTGATGATGCTGCTGCTGCTGCTGCTGTTCATGTTATCGCCAATGTGGCTGTTGCCATTGCCACGCCTCCGGCTGGCCACCAAACTCTGTTGCAATTTCTGGTTTTGCTGTTTTGCTTACATAAAAAAAAAGATCATCAAAAGATTATCATTTTTCGGGAACTACCAAAACAACACACATTTTTTGTTTTTTGTTGGCAGCTTTGTGGCTCTTTAATGACTAAATCCGATCGAGAGGCACACAAATAATAAAAAAAAAGAAATGGCAAAGTTGTGACTGTCATTAAGTCGTTTTGACAACGAAACAAGAGGAAGACGTACAACCAAACTGAAATTGTTACACCACCTTTGCGTTCGATTCGTGCATACATTATGATATATAGATATATAGTATGCCGATGGATATGTAATATTGATTGATTGTGGCGGTAGCATCTGGCTGACCGAACGGACACTTCCGTGCTCTTCGATCGGGTCACAGTTTGCTCAAGTTTCCGGCTCCTGTGGCCGTTGTCTTTTATGTTGTTGTTGCTTTTGGACATGGCCAAATGCGAATCACGATTCGAGATTGTTTTGCCAGCACTTCACTCTCGTTTTGGCTTTTACTTTTCGGACTTACTTTTACCTCACGGAGCGGAGGGTCGGGTTCCCAAAACGAAAGCAAACTGCAAAATCCACAATGCTAATGCTAAAACCCACTTGAGCGGTCAGCAGCAAGCATTTTCGGAATGGCAATGGGGGAAGATGAGCCTGCCCAGCCAGCTGCTAGTAGATCATATTCAAATTCAAAGTGCTCACCAGATTCGTAATCAGTTTACAAGGAACTACCGACATAGTCGTATGTTTTTTAATGACATAATTAGGCGTTGTTTTGAAAGGTGTTGCCTATTAACAAATCCCCCCATGGGCGGCAAACGAGGCAGCTGAGCGCTCCACTAAATTATTTAACCGAACTGCCACTCACACAGGCAGACCAGACAGAAAAAAGACCGGGTCGCCAGGCCGCCCAGCCCTATTGATTTGACCCCACCGAGGCGCTGACTTTCACCCAATGCAACAGCAGTCGGTGTGGTTCATGTTTGCCGTGATTTGCTGGCTGGGCACTGAGAGCAGGCATATACCATAAACAATATATTTTTTATTTTAATTCCTAATTTGGAATTACCAAAACGCATTCCGTGCTGCACTGTCTGCATTTGGATTTGTTGCTGTTGCTGTTGCTTTTTGGTTTTATTTATGTATTTATGATGCTGCTGGGTGATGTCATCCGTTCCCAGCCATTGGCTATTCGGGAGCGTAGCTTTGGGAGCAGCACAGCTCCGGAGGCGAGCGACTCCAACGAAATCAATTTTATGTAATTATGTAACTGTATCTGTCGGTCCTCAAACACAAACGCTGACTCTGACTCTGATGTTGATGCTGATGCTGACGGCCGGGGCTGCAGAGCGATCATCAATCAGTTGAGGGCCCATCATTAGCTCACATTTCATCAAAACGTTACAGACAAAACGGAGATGCGATCAAATAAATATGTAAAAGACAATCACAGTGGTAGCCAGACTAAGGCAAGGCACTGTATGAAATATATTAGTTAGGGTAAATCTACAATTTATTTTGTTCCAGAAATTGGTAACCAATTCGAAGGGGATGTCAAATTTTAATACTTACTTTTTAAATTAATTTTTTAATTTTCTCCCAACTCCCAACTACTTCCAAATTACATGTCGTGTGCATGACTCAGTTTGAATATCACTTTTAAACTTAGGGACCCCTGAAACCCGTATCGTTCGCTTCTTCAGTCATTAACTTGGGTCAAAGGCTGCTGTTAACCCACAATAGCAGACCCGCAGATTGCACTCTGATCAGTGGAGGAGGGAGCCTTCCACTTGCGGACACCTGTAGAGCAAGTCACCAACAAAATGGATAACAATTTGAGCTGAAATCGATGGCGAGTGCGTTCAACCTACAGCTGGCAATGCAGCCTTGCCTGCCGGCGCCCGCTGCTGCCACTTGCATTTCCACTTGTTAGCCAAGTTTATTGTCGATCCATTAGCGTTTGCCTGCAAGCCAAGCCAAGCCATTCCATTTGATTTCGAGAGCAAATGCCAATCGGCAACAATTTTGCGCTCCTCCCAAACCACAGCACCGATGAGACCTCCAGCCAAACAAAAGTTCAATGGCTATGGCTGACAAAAGGCGAACTCATCTTGGAAAATTGATTTGCAGTTCGCTTGATTGCCAGGCATCAGGCATCTGGCATCTGGCACCACCTTGGTGGCATTAATTTTCCATGTCTTCTCATTCTCCGTTAGACACCGGACAGGCACACAAATTGGTTTCAGCTTAATGGAGGAGTATGGACGGGGCACACTCTTCCATTTCCAGCAATTGCTATTGATGAGTTGCAGGTATTGTGGTTGAGCGTGCGGATGGAATGTTTAGACTTTGGACACGTTTTGGCACATCCTGCCATGGCCATTTGGTCTCTTGTTTCGGCACATTCGAGTTTTTAGTGCCAAATAAAAGTGAAGTTTATTTTGTTTCAGAACAAATCAATACACAATAAAATCGAACAAAAAGTTACCCAAATTAAGGCCACTTTCGTTTTCCCTCAATTCGAATTTGAACAATGGAATATTTTGGAATTCTATTGGAAAGAATGCTTGACTCTCTTTCTCTGCAGATGAATAGCAAAAAAAGATAAAAATAAATAGAAATAAGTCTCCATTGAACGCTTTGTATAGGCAGCAATATGCGCCGAGGGTCGAGGGCTGGGCTATTGGTAGGATTGGTAATGCTCTCCCCCCATTGACAGACAAATCTAAAGTAGCAGCAGCTGAAAACAGACAACAAAAAAACGGAAAAATAAAATATTATTTTCACTTTCTTTGCAGTAAGTTGAAGCTTTGTTGTAATTGCTGTTGTTGCTGCCACTGCCACAGCCAGTGCTGCACGCTCTGGTGTCTTTGTACCCATTGTTGTTGTAGCGACAAGACAAGATCCAAAGCTGGGCGGCTGCCTCAGGTTTATTGACTGCGTCGTCTATGCAATTAAGTTTACTCTTTTTTTTTGCTTCTCTTGTTTGCGCCTCAATGGGCCGCACTTGGTCCGACCAGGGGCAGCAGCCAGATGGGGCAGGTGTGGCAGGTGACGCCGACTGACTGAACCGAAACATCAGCATCATCAGCTGCATGAACAATTTTGGATAGTCTGCAGTGGCATGGCCCAATGCACCTGAGGGCGGCAACACCCCAGCTCTGACACTGACACCGACTCTGGAGGAGGCAGGCGTCTTGAGACACTTGTGGCACACATAGTACTCAGTAGTCGTATTTTCACCCAGCAATTAGGGTGTTGCCCCATGCCCCAGTCAATGAGCGGTGTCATCAATAACGAGCACACTTTTTTTTGGTTTATTTTCATTTGAATGATTAATAAATTTAATACATTTATAAACACACACAACAAATATAGTGCACACGAGAAGTACATATCCCTGTTTATCCAGTTTGGTTGCGTTACTTGCAGAATTTGCAGAATTATGCATAATTTAAGAAATGTTCGCGGAATGTTTTCTGGTTTCCTGTTTATTTGTTAGACATTTAGAGTTTAAAATACTGTAGCCTCAGCCTCAATTATTGAAGCAAAAAATGTACTAGTACGATTATATTTATGTATTTATGTATGTATGTGTATGTATATATATATTTGGCAATTGATCTAATCAATACCGCAATTTAAATCAGACGTTCTTTGAATGAGTGCATTCATCTTGTAGGCTTTTTCTTTTGTATATAATTAAATAAATAAAATTGCTGATAAATAAGTCAGGGGATTGGGACTGGGAGGGGTGGTCAGGCAATGCAGAAAGTCATCAAATCAAAGATATAGGAGAGACATGAAATTGTAGCCGATATGAATGACAATTCGGGGGGTAAAAATTATAAAACGAGTCAGTCTTAAACAGAAACAATTATCACAGAACAGAAAATAATAAACATGACTTGGGCGTGACTTAGTTGAGGGCAATCGTGCCCTCATCAGCACTCAACAAAGAACGGACTATCTCTGGGCCAATGTATGGATCGACGCGACGCATCATCACCATTTTGTCCACCTCGCGCTTGATTAGCATGCGCAGACTGATCAGTTGCTCCCCGAACATCGGATGCATGCAAATCCGTATCCAGTGGTCAATGCACAGTTGCCCCTTGGGTGCGGTGTCCAGCAGGCCCAGGTTGCTGCTCGGTCGCTTTGTTATTTTGAGCACCTTTCCACCGGCAATGGCCACATGAAGGGAGCTGACCAGGCTGGTTTGTTCCAGTGACGATTTGTATTCCGAGACGCGTGTCTTCTCCACGTACAGTACCCACTCGCTGGGCAGGGTGCGCATCTTCTTTTTGCCCAACAAGCAGGAATTGCGGGAGACAAGTACATTCGGATCGCACTCGGCCACCAGCTCGTTCTTGGTGTAGTCGTAATAGGCCAGATTGGGGTAGAGGCCAGCAGTGAGGGCCAACCGGAGCATGTTGTTGTCCCTGTCATAGGCGCTGGCATGGCGCTTGGCGGTCTGATCCAGCTTGAATATTCTGCAAACAGACTCCCGCAGCGTGGACACGGCCGAGACGAACATGGCCATGGAGTTGGAGCAAAGATAGTTGCGCTCACAGAACTGGGCTACCTCCCTGTTGCCGCGTCGCGATATGTCCGTGTATTGTTTGTAGAGATTTATCATTCCAATCAAATCGCTGTGGCTGCTCTCGGTCATCTTGAGGCGCGCCTCTTGCGGATAGAAGCTCCTCCGGCGATCAACGGGCAGAACGAACGGATCACGGACTGAGTGGTAGGCGGCAATGATGGACATGCTGCCCAGACATCGATAGTATATCGAGTATACCACGCACTTGCCCATCTGCACGCTAAGCGGCAGCTCCGCCAGGATCCGGCCCAGCATGGTGATCGACTCATCCCTTTCCTGGAGCACGCCCAAAAGCTTCAGCCTCGAGCAGGCCTGATTGACGGCCTCCGGCTGCGGTGCATCCAGTGCCTGCGACAGAAACTTCGGTATGGACTGCTCGGGAGCAGCGATCTTCGTCAGCAGACAGATCTCGTCCAGCGTGCGACGCTGTATCTCCGGTATGGTATAGAAGTTCATCTTGGCGAATTGCGCGCTGGAGTACAGGCGATAGCAGATGCCATCTCGGAGGCGACCAGCTCGACCGGCCCTCTGCTGGGCATCCGCCTGCGAGATCGGCGCCGTGGTCAGCTGCGAAGCGTTCGTTTTGGCGTCATAGATCTTCATCTTGGACTTGCCCAAGTCGATGACATAGACCAGCTCCGGTATGGTGATGGACGTCTGGCCGATGTTGGTGCTCAGGATGATCGTCAGCTGGATGTTCGGATAGTGACGGAATATCTTCTTCTGCTCGTGGTTCTCCACCTGGCTGTGCAGCAGGAGTATTTGCATTTTGTCGCTCGGCAGGGAGTTGTACAGACACTCCATCAGCGAGGTCATGTCATTGTAGCCCGGAAGGTACACAATTACCGAGCCCTTCTCGCCCGTCTTCACCAGCAGCTCCAGCAAGGAGACAATCAGGTTGTTGTCAATGTCCGCCTCCATGTACCGCGTGAGGATGTAGGCATGGAGCAGCTCTTCCTCTGTGGCGGTATCAATCTTGTTGCCCAAGATCTGCTTCATGGCCGCGGTCATGTAGCCAGTCTGGCTGAGAATCTGCTCCATCTGGAAGATGCGCACCCCGAAGCTGCGTCCCTCCACATCCAGAACGGGCACATTGCCAAAGTATGCGGACAACGCATCTAGATCCATGGTGGCCGACATCAGGATCACCCTAAGCTGGGGATTCTTCTTCAGTTCCAGCCTGATGACCAGCAGCAGAAAGTCCGTGTCCAGGTCACGCTCGTGCACCTCGTCGATAATCAAGTGTGTGACGGTCTCAAAGAAGGCCTGGGTATCCATGGTCAGGGCCCGCAGCAGACAGCCGCTGGTGGTCAGCGTGAGAACAGTGTGGCTGGTGCAATTGCCTGCAATCAAACGGAATTTACATCTACCTCAATCACATGGGAATCCATCGCTTACTGTTCATGCGAATCTGATAGCCTACAGTGCCGCCTGGCAGCTCGCCGCGCTCCTTGGAGATTCTCTCCGAGACGCTGATGGCCGCAATCCGACGCGGCTGGCTTACCACAATCCGCACCGCGTGCTGATTTTCTGCTGCCGACTCCAGCACATATTGCGGCACCTGCGTTGACTTTCCAGAGCCGGTGGCACCCTTGACAATGAGAACCTTTGCACAAGTGGAGGAAAAGCATTAAGCGTAAGCGTAAACCTGCGTGTTCAGACTCGGAACGGGCTTCGGACTCTCACCTGGTACTGTTGCAGAGTGCTCTGAATCGTTGAGCGATAGCGAAAAATGGGTAGACCGATGCGTTCCCCATTCAGCGGATTGTTTGCGTATTCCGGGTGGGGGGGTATTTGTCGGACACCCACCAAACCGAAGCCATTTCGTGGCCTGTTCTGGTCTGCTCGAGAGCCATTGCCTTTGAGTGCCGCCGAGGCCATCACTCGTTCAATTTTGGCGACCGACGAGGCTAGGGTTCGGGTCACCTTGGAGTTTACCATCAGCACAGGGGCGTCGAGGCAGAGGTGGAGACTGGAGCCCGGAGCGCGAGTGACGCTGAGCACCCGATTGAGAGTGGGCCCACGGCTGATGCTCTTCAGTCCCATCGACTGGGCACAGCTATGAATGTGGCTGCGCTGCTGCTTGTTCATGCCCTCCAGTTTCAGCTCCAGTTGGTTGCTGGCCAAAAAATCAGCCAGCATTTGCTTCAGCAGATTTTTCTCCATCAGACTGAGTGGGAGTGCAACAATTTTGATGCTGTTTGCCCCTGAACCCGATTGTTGGGGCTGTTGTGGGTTGTTCATTGTACCTGCTGAAGGCCCCTGCTTTCCCTTTTTATTCTTCTTACGTTTTTTGGTTTTCTGCACATTGTTGTCCGCCATATCGTTTTCTATTAGTTTTCCTTATATTTTCTTTTATAACTATTTCACTGCGACACTTTTCGCTTTTTGTTATTTCTTTGTTTATTTTGTTGTTCGGTTGGCAGTTCAGATACAGACACAGGTTATAGATATATGAAATTTTCGATTGGCAAAGCATCCCATTTTACATAGTAACTACACGCCAACTACACATTTGCTACAAACTTACTACATTTTTTTGTCAAATTCGACAGAGACCTAGCGAGGAAATGAGTACGTTAAACAATTTTGGTGGATAATCTTTAAAAATTGAATTGGAATTTGATGCTGATCATTAGTATTGTGGCCTGGGACATGGCATTTCTACGCGTTTTCTACATTGGTGGATTAGGACAATAGGGTGACGCATAACGCGTCTTCAAAAATACTGGAAAACAAGATTATACTCAAAAATACTAGCAAAACTTCCCTGATCGGAAATAATATTCAAATCAAACAATTAAAATTTATATTTTATAAGAAAATCTGTTTCGCTGATATATCATACACTTTGGAAGCGTTTAGGTGCTTTATCTAAATATTCACTGTATAGTGGAGAGATTGTTTTGCCATCTCCTCGTTCATATGGGTCTGCTTCCAACTAAATAATTACATGAACTAAACAGAGCCAACTTTTGACTAAAGAATATGGAAACTTTATTTCGCTTTAACAGATTTCTCCTCCTCCTCCTCGCTGTCTTCGTTTGAATCAATATCTGAATCATCATCCTCAGCGTCCTCGTCGTCGTCCTCATCATCATCATCGTCGTAATCATCCTCTTCGGCTAGGTTCAGTTGCTTTATTTTGTCCAGAAGCTCGGCGCGAGTGTGGGCCACACGTTTCGCCTTCTCCTCGATCTCCTCCGTCTCCTCGTCCTTCTCAGCCGTCTCCTGTTTCTTGCCCTTGTTCATGTAGCGCAGAAAGGCGCGACGCTTGCGCTCTGAGAACGATTTGACCAAACGATCCATTTCCACCTGCAGCTGCTGCTCCTCCTGTGGCGTTGGCTCGGGCGCCTCTATGGCCACCTCGTCGGCGGTCTTCAGGCACTTGGCGCAGGCATGGGCCTTGATGGCGCACTCCCGACAGATGACATGGTAGGCCTTCTTCACTGTCCGCTCCTTGCAATGGCTGCAGGTCTTCGCCTGGGTGAGCGGCTTGTACTTCTTGTATTTGATCTTCCACTCGATCACCTCCTTGCACCGCTGGCAGACCGTCGAGACATGCATGGAATTGAGTCGCATCTGTTGCGGAGTCTTGTCGTGCAGATCATTCTTGAATACAAAACGATTCTTGTGTTTCTGGGCACGTGTGCGGTTGACATTACCGCGTTGCGAACTCATTGTGCTATTGCAGGCAACTGAAACAAGTCGTAGTTGATGAGTAACAGGTTCGGGGTACGCCAGTGATTGGGGGTGTCACATTTACCTGTTACAATTATCGCAATTTAATGAAATTACAGCCAAAATAAACTATGGGAATTTTGCGTCGTATATATAACAGTGTGACCGTGACGATAAAAATACCATCCGGCCAAAAAATAAATAATATTAAATACCATTTCATTGTCGAGAAATACCATTAAATACCATACCATAAAAAAACCAGGGCAGTCCGGCGATCAAACGAGACTTAACCCACTTTACACCCCTCTATTTAAAAAGTTGATCACCCTTTGTTAATCCATATATATTGACGGACACGAAAAGAGAGCAAATTTTGACAAACCACAACGATTTTTACCGATTAAATATACCAATATATATAGCAAAATGTATGAAATATACCAAAATACCAAAAACATGCACTCTGTGGTGAGCTGAGTGATATGAAACTTGTTAATGCGTATTTTCTTAAGTGTGGCCAGACATTTTGCACTCGTCATAGTATATTGCTCATTGCTATAAAACTCACAACTTTCACGCCTATCGAAATTTGAAATATGTTTTGTGTATTCCAAACTTCAATGGATACTAATTGATTGATTTGCTGTTGCTACAATTACTTATACTGGATGTAAACCACTTAATGACACATTCTGGCACTTTTTCATTGCAGATTTGAGTGAGTCGCTGTGTCCCATGTCGCCGTCGCCATGCGCGACCTTAAACAGCGGCTCTTCGACCTTCTGCGCTCTGGCGGCAACAACAGCAGCGGCAGCAACAACAACAATAGCAATAATACCCAAAATGGCATTGCCCACATTCAGCACACGATTCAGCAGCTGCCGGCCGCCCAAAAGCCGAAGAAGCTCCACGAGTACACAGCCGCTGACTGCAATGCGGCCTTTCTGCGCAAGTACCATGACCTCAGCATTAGCAGGGGCATTGGTCTTGAGCCGCACAGGGAACGGGAGAGGAACAGAGATAGAGAACGCGAAAAAGACAGGGACAGGGATAGAGACAGAGATAGGGAGCTGGAGTGGGAGAGGGAGGCGACAACTCTCCCACGGTGCCAATGTTATCTACTTCAATGAGAACCTGTCGATGGCCAGCAAGTACAATGTGCGTCAGTTTCCACTCACCCGATACCCCTCCTGTCCGCTGAGCAGCTTTGGGCTGACATCCGCCCCCCACAACGGGCCGCCGCCGCCCACCCATGAGGGTGGTGGCAGTGCAGGCAGCAGCCTGGGGGAGGAGGAGGAGGAGGAGGACGATACGGAGAGCGAGAGGTACAACTTCTGTTCGGATGAGGATCAGAGTAGCAACACACAAACCCTCAAGATTCGACACACCCACGACATGGGCATGGACATGGACATGGATGGCGATGTCGATGGGGATGGGGATGCCGATGGGGATGTGGATGTAGAGGACGACAGGGCCGAGTCGCAGTTGGACTCCTTCTGCACGCTCTGCACCTCCACCTTCAGCTACAACAAGTGCTGTCGCTTCTGCGAGAACTCCCTCTGCGGCTCCAAATGCAACTCGGAGCGGGGCTCCCATGCCAGCCGAATCAGTCGGAATGGAGGCTATCCCCAGGCCGAGGCGGAGGCGGATCTCCACCTCCACCACCAGCAGCAGCAGCAGCCGCAGCCGCAGCAACAGCTGCCCCAGCATCCTCGATTTGGGGGCAGCATGCGGATGCTCTCCACCTATCAACCGACGGCTCTCAGGTGAGTGCATTGCGACAATTAAATCTTAATCGAACCAAGGCCAAAGCGTAGGGTCAAAGTTCGCGTTGCAAATGTAAATTGCTGCATCGTAAACACATCGTAAAGCGGCACCTCAATCGCTGGATGGCCAATCAAGTGGCTGCCAATCAAGTGGTTGCCTCATTAGTGGATTTGCGATCGATCGATCGAGGGGGCACTGATGAAGTGTTTTCCAATAATTCTATTAAATTGCATTGTCCATCGTCGTTGCGGCTAATTAGCTGTAAACTTTTGATTGATTGCATTTAAATGAGCTTTTGCCTTGCCAATGCCACCTCGGTGCTGTGGGGGGCACAGGGGGCTGTGTGTGTGTGAGAGAGAGAGAGAGAGCAACGACTCAAACAATTATGCATAAAACCTTAAACTGGCCATAAACAACCGTTAGGCAGATCTAACGCTGCTAACGCGCATGACGCCGCCAGCTTGACCATAAAAAAAAGCAAAAAAAATTCTATTGAATACAACGAATACGTACAACAAAAACAACAACAAAATAAAGATGGATTAAATTCATCCAAGTCTTGCCGAAGTTTCTATGCCCTTGGATTTCTCCTCGAAAAACTTGCAGTATAAAAATAATACAATTTAGTAGCTACAATTAGCAGAATTATTTGAAAGTTCATAGTGGTTCTATACATGCCTATCTATATGGCTATCCTATATACGTATATGTACATAAAATAACTAAAGACTAAAGGCTGCAATTAATCTCCAGATATGCTTTAAGTTTGAAGTGTAAATTCTTCTTTGGCTCTCTTCGAGATCACTCCTGTGCGCCAGATGGACACATCTCAGCGCTTTTCGTACACCTGATCGTTGCCAGAATACCCTCCTCAGGGATAGGGTAAATATAGTAGAAATTCCAGCATACTGAAAATACAAAAAGGCGAGCAAGAAAAAGTCTAGCAATGTGCAAAAAGCGCATCGAAAATCAACTGAAGACAAACCACAGCAGCAGCAGCAGCAGCAGCAGCAGTCGCAGCCACAGCCACAGCCACAGCGCAGCCGCGCGCACACACACACACACACAAACGAGCACACGCACGCGCGCCTACCTGCTGCATACCCGACTGAGCTTGTGTTTACATCAACAACAACAGCAACAGCAGCAACAACAAGTCCAAAGAGCTTTCTCGATCGGCACTTCTTTGGGGTCCGCTGCTTTCGGCTCTTTACATTTCTTTGGCGACCGCTGGCCGAGCTGGTCTGCAACAACCACCAACCGGCCTCAAGCCTCAAACAAGCCGCGACCATTGTCCGCCTAGCACGTGCCGCGCTCTACAAACCGCCACAAGCGCCGCCACCACCTCCGCCGCCAACGACTCTTTCAACCGTTCATCGCGCGATCGATAGATGATCTGAAACTAAGCTCCATTTGCCAGAAACAAAAACAAACCTTAGTTGCTTGCAAAAGCTCCGATAAGAACTTAAACTCTTTTTGTTTTTTGTGTGTTTGTTATTCTTTACTTCTTTGCTTTTGGCATTGTGTGTGTGAAACTCTGGGGATAGTACGATGATATGATATAGTGATGATCCACTGCCAATAATGTGTGTGCTGTGCCAGTGCTTTAGTGTGTGAAGAGTTGGTGCGAGAAACACTTGGAAAGAAGCTGCGACAACTGCACTTCCAACTGGATATGGTGTGCGGTAAGTTCCCTCCATTTACTGACGGCGACTAGGATAAAACTCAATTACGATTGGAGCAATGAGAGCCACAGCCTTGAAGAAAATCAAGCCATTACGCAGCTATGACTGATTTTCATTTATTTACATTGCAAAGTACATTGCCAAACCACTTGGCTTGCAGAATATGCAGCCCAAACTACTCATATTTTGGCTCAATGAAACTGATAGGTAGGATAAGAAATATGAGTTATATATCTGGAAAATAACATACACAGAAGTCTGCCATTAATTTGGCGAGACCTTTAACTGATGTCTGTCAAATTGAGAGTCTCAAACACATTCCATTATACCATCTCCCGATAACAGACGGTGCCTCTGCTGCTTAAGTATTTTGCCAAAAATGTATCTTCGTCTTCTTGGATCTGAACTTTCCTGAAAGTGAATAGATATATATTTTTGTGTTTGGAGAACTTTTTCAGCATCAGAAAATCTTCCATGCCACAGGGCAACGGAGTGGAGAAGCACAGCACACAGATGGCTTTCTCCATAAAGCTGGTCATATCACGATTTGATTTGCCTAAGTTATACAACCCTTTGGGGCTGCGACTGATTATACGACTTGCTGCGATAATTACGACTCCAATTCACTCCACTCCCCTGCCCTGGTGGGGGTTTCAGTGTGTTGTAATGGGAGTGAATGCGTCGTCTGTATGCAACTCCATATCGCATGCCACACCATGCCACCCCATGCCACACGGTTTCATACCATCTCTAAAGCGTGTGCCGTGATAAATGAACGGCGCAGCTATCCATATCCATGCTCACTGACGTGATCCACGATGCACGAGCAGAGAGTAGAATCCAAAACCGAAAACGAACCAACAAAAATAATAATAAAACCGCATAAAATTGTATTTTGTTTCGGAGTTGCACACACTCACGCCCGTTACCCGTTCCCCGTTCCACGTTCTCTTAATGGATCCCCCTACTCCTCCCTTACTCCCCTGCCCCTGGTAAAACTCGCTCATTGTGACACGGCAATCGCTGAGCTTAATAACATTTCTTGCATTATATTTAATGCTCTTGCAGGAGGGACTGGGTATTCCTATTTAGGCCAGAGGTTTGTTTCGGCACTCCATGGTGCATACATTTGTCATACCTGGCTTTCAGAGCTGTAAGTCCCCATTTTATAATGGAGTCCTTATCCTGAATCCTTTGTGAATAGCAAAATTGTTTAAGACAAACTTTTTAATCTGCAGAGCCTAATTTTTCACTAAGGATCGATCTGTGCCATGACATTTTTAACACCCAAATTTAATTTAAATATTCGGTTTTTAGCTACAAACATTAAATAAAAAAGATTGGTTTATTTCAAGCAATATTTAATGGAAATGTAAAGACTTTAAAATAAATACAATATTTTAAATTTGTTGAAAATATAATAATTTTATTTTTATATTCAATTTATTTAAATCAACATTTTCTTTCTCAGCTTTTGGCATCTTTCACCTTCGGAATATTATTAGGGTATTTGAATGGTCGACTCGATGAATATACTTTTCCTTTCATTTTTCTGTTGTTGCTATGTGTTTTGTGAACATTTTCGGTTAATTTGGTTTTAATTTGAGAAATATTATTGTTATTCTATGACTAATTTGGGACATACATAGCTAGGGGGTTGGGGCAGATCGTTTCTAGCACTACGTATGCTGATTTCCATAAGGAAACTCTCTCTCTCTC